CTGTGGTCCCAGCTACTTGGGAGGCAGAGGCAGGAGACTCGCTTGAGCCCAGGAGTTGGAGGTTGCTGTGAGCTGTAATGCCACGGCAGTCTACCCAGGGGGACAGCTTGAGGCTCTGTCTCAAAGAAAAAAAAAAAATATATATATATATATTCCACTTCATTAATCAGCAAGGAAATGGAAACAACAGCAGTAAGATATTCTTACTTACTCAAAAGAATGGCTGAAATGAAGAAGACCAAAGTGTGTTGGTAAGAATGGAGAACAAACAGAACTCATTCACTGCTGCTGAGAGTGTAAATTGGTATAAATGACTTTAGAAAGCAGCCTGGCATTATCTAGTAAATTACAACAGATGCATAACCTATATACCTAGTAGTCCTGCACCTGACTATACTGAACAGAAAGGAATGCACATAAATACCAAAAGACACTACACAAATATTCTTCACAGCAGTATTTCTAATAGCTCCAAAGCAGAAGCTACCCAGATGCCTAGTATTTGTCTAGTGCAGTGTTTTTCAACCTTTTTTTATTCTCATGGCACACTTGAACCTATAGTTAAACTAACACAGCACACTTATGTTGATAAAAAAAATTTGAAGAGTTACATAAGGAATATACTTAGAATGCTTTGGACTTCATTTGAAAATAATTTAATCTTTAAAATTTTTCATGGTGCACTGGTTGAAAGTCACTGATTTAGTGGAATGGATAAATTATGGTATGTTAACACTATTGAATACTAGTTAGCAAATGAGAATGAGTGAAGGATAAATATATGAAGTCTTAGAAAAAGTGCTACATACGTCATGGCTGATTATCACTCTAGTCACTTTTGAAGTACTCTCTTTGAGAAGCTGTGCCCTGATGCCAGTGCCTAGTTCACCCTTCAAAGCAATTTTGGAACTGTTTTCTGGAAGACCTTCAGAGCCTTTATTGTATAGCACACAGAAACACTCAAAAACAATAATGCACTCTGCTCAACAAGACACAGCCACATGTTGAATGAAAATAGCTGTGAGACACTGATATACAAAGGTTATGAAACCTTACTGAGCTGTTTGTACGGTGCTGCCAGTGTAAGCGCACAGCAGCAAGTTCTTGAACTTCATTGTCAGACTTTGTATGATGGCATCTCAGATGGTCATTCCAGAAAAAGAGTTCTAAAATTGCTGTAGAGTGGCCAAGGCACTGGCTTCAATGCATAGCTTACCAAAGGGAATATTTGAAGGTAACTATAGTGATACTCAGCAATGAGATTTATACCACTTTTTCTAGGATGAATTTGCAAACTTAATTGTTAGACCTTGTATATAACAGTACTTAATGAGTCTTGCAAACAGTGTGAGAGAAAATAAGAAACAAAAAATTATATGCTACATTATTCCATTTATAGAAAGTTCAAAAAATATTTAAAACAAATTTGTTGTAGTTAAAGTCAGGTGTTACCCTCAGCATGGAGAGATAGGAAGGAAAAATGGGGTGAGCATATAGGCTTCTAGCCAGATTTTATTTGTTGGCTCAGGTAAAGTTATATACATTTGCTTTTTGATAATTCATTGAGCTCTATATTGGTGCATTTTTCTGCCCATTTTCTACATGTAAAAAAGATCTTTTAAAAACATTAAAGATGAAGTTATTAGAAATGTCTAAAAAAGACTATTGTAGAGAAAAATTATAAAACTTCATAGAAATATATCTAGGAAGATCTAAATAATTGGAGATTTATATAGTTGCAATAATAAATTTAAGATATCAGCTCCCACCAAATTAATTTCTAAGTTAAGTGCATTGCTACTCAGAATTTCTGTAGGATTTTCTATGGAATTTGATAGGCTGATACTAAAATTTTTATGGAAAATCAGAAAGTATATTTAAAGAATAAGGTAAGGGAACTTGCTATAACAGATAGCAAGACTTACTACATATGTAGCTTACTTATTATTTGATGATAGAGCTAGAAAGAAAAATGAAACAGAATTGTAACCCAGAAACATTCCCATGAATATGGAGACTTAATATATACACAGATGGCTTAACAATTGATGGAGAAAGGATGAAGATGAACTATTTAGTAGGATCTGGGCCACTGATTAAGTATGTAGGAAAAATAAAATCAGATAAATCACTGCTATATTTAAATGAGAATGTATAGTATCCTAGGCATATTCAATGTAAAAAGGAGAACTTTAAACTTTTAGAATTTATCTGGTCTATCCTATGAGTATGAGATAATTAAGGATTTCTTAAGACACACAAAGCTCAGATCCTAAAGGAAAGATGTAATGAAAGTGACATTATTAAAATGAAAATTTTGTTTATAAAAGGCATTTGTAAACAAAAGACAAGACACAGACCAAAACAAGCTATCTGTAGCTCATACGACCTACAAAGAAATTTTACAAGAATGTTCATTGCCATGCTTTTCAACATAAAACATTAAGAAATAGCTTTATATTGATCAACAGGTACATTGATCTATTAATACAGTAACACATTACATAACACCAAGAATGCATTTAATTAGAGTCACTTATATTAATGTGACTAACTCTCAAAATCATATAGTGAAAAAGTTGTGTTGCTTAAAGGTATTTATAGTATTGTCCCTTTTAGGTAACATTTAGAGACATGCAAAACAATACTATATATTGTTGATTATTATATGCAATGCAGTAGAGAGTTAAAAAACATCCTTGTAATTGTTAAACTCTCAATTCAATATAAAGGTTATTGAGACCTTATACAAGAAATCATTGTATGTATAATGTTTTATTTCTTAAATTCTGTAGAAGATACTTTGTTGTTTATTATGCTATGTATACCTTTGGTATGCCTAAATTATTTTATTAACGTTAAAAAATTTTAATCTAAAAATTTCAGAAGACATTGAGAGATTAGGAGGATTGGAGTAATAGAAATAAGAAAAATGTATGAATTTAAAAGAAAAGAGGTAACATGATAAATAACACCAACACTGGTTCTGCGTTGTGTTTTAGTAATCTTTATTTCTGATTTCTTCCTGAAGAATATTACTACTCACAGATAGGAAATGAAAAATGCTCGAGAAAAACAGGAAGAAAGGAGAAACGGAAAATATTAGACAAGCTTAAAAGGCTTATAACTATGTGAGATTTTTAAAAACTATGTAAAAATGCTATATGTAAAATATAAATGATAATGTATAAATGCTTTTCTTGGATCATATGAAGTACCAAAATTGGCTCCATAAGTGATTAAAAACTTTGAATAGGCCAGAGAACTTAAAAGCATTGTTCAAATCTACTTTTTTTTTTCTTTTTTTGAGACAGAGTCTCACTCACCCTTGGTAGAGTGCTGTGGCTTCACAACTCACAGCAACCTCTAACTCTTGGGCTTAAGTAATTCTCTTGCCTCAGCCTCTCAAGTAGCTGAGACAACACCTGGCTATTTTTTGTTACTGTTGCAATTGTCCTTGTTGTTTTAGCTGGCCCAGGCCCGGTTCAAACCTGCCAGCCTGGGTGTATGTGGCCGTTGCCCTCCCCACTGAGCTATGGGTGCTGCCCTGTTCAAGTTTACTTTTTAAATTCATAAAACATACCTGATTTATAATTTTTTTTTAAGATAGATCTTATTCTGTCACCTAGGCTAGAGTACTCATAGCAAGATCATAGCCACTGCAGCCTCAAATGCCTAAGCTCCTCAGCTTTCTATAGGCATGTGCCACTGCGCCCAGCTAAATTTTTTTTTTTTTTTTTTTTGATGAAGATGGGGTCTCTTTTGCTCAGGGTAGTCTCAAATTCCTGGGCTGCAGCAATCCTGCTTACTCTCCCATAGTGCTGGGATTATAGGCATGAGGCACTATGCCAGGCTTATACTTGATTTTCACTGTTACATCAGGCCATCAAAGAACAGATTTTATATAAAATGTTACCTTACTAAAATTGTGGTTTTATACTGAAAAATATAGAAACTTTCTGTGCTTTTTTCCTAATATAAAGGGATTTGAAGTTTTTTTATGTGTGGATTTTTTTGAAAGAGTTACTCATCTATTATGTTTATTATTTCTGCCTTCTCTGTGAGATCAAATGATGTTATTATTCCAGATGCCCAAGTTCAAGTGTCCATCACTGGTGATAAGAACCTCTCAGATAAAAAACAGAAAGAAGAAATCTATAGTACAAGAGCAGTGACTAAAGCTGCCCAGCCTGAAGAAAAAGAATCCTTGCAGAAGGACACTGCAGGTAGCTAGACTGGATTGTCTGCATATTATGTTCTTCTGTTTTTCTAGAATGATACAATTCCTTTAAGAATATATATATATACAGGAAAGTATTCTCTATTCTCCTCTTCAACCTTCCTCTCTATCTTGCTCATATTTTAAATATTTAAACTACATTTTTTATATACTCTGGCAGATAAAATTGGCATATTTAAAGCTCTCTGAGATATTTCTGGAGAACTTTTGGATAGTAAACAGATTACCTCTGTTGATAAAATATTTCAGGACCAGGAGATACTGATTCTATACTACCATTTTGTATATAAACCTTTATTCTTTTATTTATTTATTTTTTATTTTTTTTGAGACAGAGCCTCAAGCTGTCCCCCTGGGTAGAGTGTCATGCATTACAGCTCACAGCAACCTCCAACTCCTGGGCTCAAGCGAGTCTCCTGCCTCCGCCTCCCAAGTAGCTGGGACCACAGGCGC